CCATCTAGCCCCTGCCCTACCCCAGGCCTTCACCACACTATTATCTGTGTCCATGGGCTATGCACATCTATCTATATATATAAAAGCTTAAGTGACTGAATGACCAAACAAACTAATGACCGGTCAACAGGTCGCTATGATGCGTACTGACCACCGGGGGACACTCAATGCAGGAACTGCCCCCAGGTGGTCAGTGAACTCCCACAGGGGGAGCGCCACTCAACCAAAAGCAGGCTCACGGCGGGCAAGAGGGGCCAGGATGAGCAGGAGTGGCTCGGGCTCCTCCCTGGCTGCCTGCGCTTTGCGCACTGCTACATCCCTCAGGGGATGTCAGATTGCGAGAGGGTACAGGCCAGGCTGAGGGACCCCACCAGTGCACAAATCTGTGCACCAGGTCTCTAGTATGTATATAAGTATGTATATAAGTGATTAATCTAATCACCCTACCCTCGGAGCTCTGTCAGTTTGTTCCATGTATCCATGCCTCTGGACCCATTTTGTTTATCAGTTTATTTTATTCATTAGATTCCACATATAAGTGAGATTATGTGATATTTATCTTTCTCTGACTGGCTTCAGGTATAGGCTTATATGTCTGGCTTATTTTGTTCACCATAATGCTTTTGAAATTCATTCATGTGATTGTGTTTATCAGAAGTCTATTTCCCTTTCTCCCTTTCTTTCTTTCTTTCTTTCTTTCTTTCTTTCTTTCTTTCTTTCTTTCTTTCTTTCTTTTAATGAGTAGTAGCCCACTGTATAGATAAACCACAATCTTTATCCATGTACCTGCTAATGAATATCTATGTTGTTCCAGTTTGAGGATCTAAATAAATCTCCTGTGTATATCTGTGGCCAAGACTTTGTATGGATAATAGATTCATTTCCCTTGAATCAATATCTCAGAGTGGAATTGCTGGGACGTATGTGCATGTTTAACTTTTTAAGAAATTTGCCAACTGTTTTTGAAGAGGTTGCACCATTTCCATTTCCATCAGTGTCTGTGAGAGTTCCAGTGGAGAAGTAGCCTTTGATGGCAGGGCATAACTAAAAGGTGATTTATCCTGAGCCATAGAGAAGTTAGGCATACTTCACCCCCTCCTCCTCCTCTACTACTACACATGAACATCATTTTGACCAAGACAGAATGGAGATGGCCACTCTGGGGGTCACTGAGGAAGTAGTCGTGGGATCTGCCCTCAGATCATGGGTCTCAGGTTGCTCAATCTCTCTGGGGATAGCAGAGAGCTTTTGAATAGTTTAGCTCGTGTGTGAGGTGTGTGCGTGTGTGTGTGTGTGTGTGTGTGTGTGTGTGTGTGTGTGTGTTTGGGGAGTTCACAAGTGTAAGTATATTTGATTGGATGTAAGATATTTTAAAATACCCATAATTGCTTAATACTCCACCTTTTCTATTTGAAGTAGGTTAATAGGCCAGGTTGTCACTAGTTGATACTTTTTAAATTGCAGGTCTAGTTCCCATTCAAATTTAATGGGAGGCAATGAGACCTCATGATTAAGAGTGAGACTGGAAGATTCCACACCCCTACTTCATCACCTGTGAGCTGTGTGACTGTGGGCAAGTTTTCTGACTTCTCTATGCCTCACTTTCCTTATCTGTAAAGTGGGGATGGTAATGCTGTCTGTTTCTCAATAAATAAATATCACTTTCACATCTGGTAAGAAGTAAAATTTCAATGAATTTCTCCCCTATGTTGCTTTAACAACATATTGCATGAGATAATACACCCAGTTGGTCTTTGTTTTAAAAAATATTTGAACTCAGCTATGTGAAGCACTGTGTGGTCCACAGTAAAGATACATCTCTGCCCTCACGTGCCTTAGAGTCTCTTAGGAAGACATGACATCTAGGCACTGAGCCTTCATGTGAGGACAGTAGAAAATCCCTGAAAAAGAAGCCCTATTTCAAGTACCCAGCTTCTTCCTAAGGAAATCAAGCCATGGCTTCAAAGAAATGAAGGAGTGTTTATTGAGCATCACTAAGTGCTAAGCCGTTGTCTAGATGCCTTGACCAAAAGACAAAAACTGCTGCTGTGGGAGAGTCTACATATGTATAAATATAGACAATAAATAATAAATGATAATGTCTGAAAGGAAATTATCTACTATGCTAGACGGTGGCCAGAGCTTTGGAAAAAGCAGGGCAAGCAAGGGTCATTGGACAAGCAAGGGTCACTGGGGAGATGATACCATTTCATAACCTACTATGAGAGGAAAGGAAGATGGAAAATGTCAAAGAAAAAGTCAGGAAACATGGGATATAGACCAATTTAAAAATTGTTTCCAGAATAAGAGTGAAGAGAATGGAGAGGAGGGTATACTCACAAGAATAAGAGAAGAAAATTACCCCAAACTGAATAAAACAGTTCTCCAGGAGGAGTCCCTAACGCGCAGCAGCTTGATCCAGAAACCCGTCAGAAAGGGGAAATCTTGGGATCCATCCCAGACCTGTCTCTAAAATTCTGGGCTGAGACCCAGCTGTCTGGGTGTTAACAAGCCCTGTAGGGGGCTCCGGGGGATCCAGGGGACCCCAGCAAGTGCTCAGAAACTACCCAAATAAAGCACCCTCCTTCGATGCAAAGTGCTCGCCTAATGCAGGCAGGCTAGGAGGAAGAACCACACCTCAGAACAGAAGAGAACAAGAAGATACTAAAAGCATCCAGGGGAGGGACAGGGGAAAAAAGAAATCACTTAGGAAAGAAAACAAGTCTTTTGACACTAGCCATCTCATCCTTAACAATGGCTGCGAAAAAGCAAGGACACCGTCCATATCTGCAGAGCTCCGAGGAGCAGCAAGTAGTTTACATCGCAGACATCGCTGTTTAGGCGCGCAATCGTTGGGTGGGGGGAAAGGGCTTTCAGTCATGCAAGGATGCTGAAAACGTATCCTTTCGTGGACTTCTCAGAAAAAGGCAAAAACAAACAAACAAAAACACTCAGTTTGGGCTCCATTCCTATGAAAACCAACTCCAAGGCAATCAGGGAAGATGAGAATCCTATAAAATTCATGGCATCTAAATAGGTGTTGACTGTGAAACTGCACAACTATTGACAAATAAAGTTTAGATGCATCAAGATAGGTGGTGGTGACGGGGGTTGGGTAGTGTGAGAGGAAGAGGGAAAGAAATAGCAGAGTTCGGCAATTTTTGTCTTTCTTTTTCAGGGAGAAAGATATCACTAATGATGAACATCAGACATTCAGAGAAAGGCATAGGTTTATGAAAGTGAGGTAAAAAATTAAGATAATCATTTGAAGAATACAAATAGTCCTTATAAAGTTTCAGAATATTAGAGGGAAAAAGTAGAACAAAGAAACCTCAGTGAAACCAATAATAGACAAGAAAGAACAGAAATGCCAAGAACGTGATACAAATAGAATAAACAAAATTAGCCACCACATATTACTAGTAATCTCATTAGTAATGTAAATAGGCTAACTTTTCCCATTAAAATAAAATGATCTTTTTTTTTTGCCCTGGCCAAGTGTGTTCAATGATTAGAGCATCAGCCCACACACCAAAGGGTCTCAGGTTCAATTCCTGATCAAGGGCACATACCTGGGTTGCAGGTTCAACCCCTGACCCTGGTCAAGGCACGTGTGGAAGGCAACCAATCGATATGTCTTTCTCACATGGATGTTCTCTCTCTCTCTCTCTCTCTCTCTCTCTCTCTCTCCTTTTCTCCTTCTCCCTCATTCCCTTCCACTCTCTCTATAAAAAAAATCAATGGAAAAAATATCCTCCGGTGAGGATTAACAACAACCAATAAAAAGACAAAGGCTTTTTCAAAAGAAAAAGAAAAATAGTGAAATTCAGCATTGTTGTTTATAAGAGAGAAACATAAAAAGACATAAGAAGGCTAAAAATAAAATTTAGAAAAAAGTAAAAACTGAAAAATGTTAGTGTTCACCACATGCAACAGATTAATTAGGCATGTCAGTATGTTTGTGGTGCATATGTGTGTGTGTGTGTGTGTGTGTTTGTGTGTGTGTGTGTTGAGGGCCAGCCATACTTGTTCATATTAAGATATAATTTCTAACTGTATTTTGTTAGTGACAAGATTGCTAAAAGGATCAGCTTTAATTAACCCTGAGTGACGAGTGTTTATAGCAAGTGTCCTGACTATTAGCATAACCACCTGAGCCCCGTTCCTGCCAGGACACAATCTGAAAGGCAGGTGGATTGGGAACTGACCACCATCTGCTGCCCAACTTCCACTCACAGTGAGTTCCATGCAGCCAAACAACAGCCAACCTAGTCAGCCTGTCTACTTAGTTAAATAAAACCAAAATGCTTTGCCAGCAGTGTGATGATAACGCTCCTGTGATCATTAGAGAACAGTATTTTTGCATCACTCCAATTGGACGTTTACTCCTGCACCAGATGTCACCAGGGCAATTAAAAAGATGCGGAGAATCAAACGGTGACGATGGAGGCCCGAGGAGAGGCAACATTTGGAAGCATTCAATCCGCCTGGTTTCAGCAGCTGGGACACTGGTCACACTGCAGCCCATGTATGTCCATGTCCCTGAGGGCAGAGTGCTGAGGCAGTGTGGGCAGCAGGGCACTGCCTTGCCCCACCCAGTGCTCTGGGCTATTGCTGCCTCCAGTGGGTGAAGACGTGGAAATGGGGCAGTCAAGTTACGTTCTTTTAGCAACTGCTTGAAAAAGAAAATGGATACAATTAATGATCGTACATGCACGTCTGCCACACATTTTGAGTTGTTATGAAATATATATATTAAATATTTTTATTGATTTCAGAGAGGAAGGGAGAGGGAAAGAGAGATAGAAACATCAATGGTGAGAGAGAATCATTGATCGGCTGCCTCTTGCACACCCCCTACTGGGGATCAAGCCCACAATCAGGCATATGCCCTGACCAGGGATCAAGCTGTGACCTCCTGATTCATAGGTTGACACTCAACCATTGAGCCACACCAGCTGGGCATATTATGAAATACATTAAAACAAGTTGACAACAAACATATTTCAGACTTTATTAGAATAGTTGTGTGATACAAAGTGCAAAAGACAACAAACCTGCCGTTTGAAGCTGACCCAAGATGCCGCTCAGTTTCTCAGAGTTCTGAGGATCAGTGCCCCATTCAAGCGTGCCCTCCCCCCAACCTGCGAAGCACTCATGCCTGGGATGAAAATAAACCCCGCATTGAAAGCCCAGGATTCCAGAATTAGTGGAACACAGTTTAAATACACGAATTTAAAACTACTTACATTCTCACTTAACATTCATGAAGTGACTAGCCATTTACAATCACACCTACCATAGCAGAACAAGACCCAGCATACAATCTAGTTCAAGCTTAAGCCAAATATGCAAAAAGAACTTCAGCCCAGGGGAGCAGAGGACAAAATCTGCTGTGGGGAGGGGAGGAAACCCTTGCCACTTTGCAGATAAAAGAAACTATTCGAGAAAGAAATTCTAGAGTTGCTTCTTAAAATAAATGGGCATTAACGCTAAGAACAGACCAAAGCACAATTTTTTTAAAGCACATCAGTTAATATTAGTTCCCAAAATCAGGAGGTGGGGAATTTTGTTTATTATCTTTTTGGGTTTTTTGTTGTTGTTCATTCCATGAACCACACAGATCTAAGCAGTGGTTTTGCAGCCTGACAGAAACAGATGTGCCCGGGGCTCATATCTCAGATTCCCACACTGGACCTATTGTTTAAGGTGATGGAAATATGTGGAGCCATTACACGATTTGCAGCTGCTAGAAAGCATTGCTTTCCTGTTTTCCTGTTCCAGACAATGGCAAAGTCCAGGAGAAAAATAACACAAAAGGCTTTCCTATATTTGCCTTTAAAAACTGCATTATTTTGAAGTTTGTACTATTTTTGTCAGATCTCATCTCTTTTCTTTTAGTTTTCACATGTTTATGGACAAGAAAGTTGGAGTAAAAGTAACCAATGCTGAAATGCATATTCTTCAAAGATCTCTCGTGAGGAGGCCAGGTGCCAGCACAGCAGGCTCAGACAGGTGCTCATGCTTAGAACATAAACGAGAACAGCGACGCGCACATGTGCGTTTAAGAGAAAAGAGATTCATTCCCTCCTCAGGTCCGCCTTCGTGATGTACGTGAGCAGGTATCGCACGCTTAACTTTTGCTTCCACTTGTTTGCCTGATCATGAAAAGATGGGAGGAGGAGCCTTTGCCAAGGTTGCTAGGCTACCACTGAATAACACTTAGGGCTCGAGTTGGCCTTGCAAAGCCTGACAGGGACCGCACCCCAGAGTCCTCCTGCCCTCAACTCAGAAACTGCTTAATTCACCCACTTACTGCTGCTGGGAAAACGCCATGTGGATGTGTAACATCACAGTGTCACCACTCCGATGGTCAAGCTGCCCTCAACAGCTGCGTGTGCCTCGAGGCCGCACTGCTGAGCAGTGGTGGGTCCTGCTCACCATTATCACCACCCCCTAGGCCTTGTTGGATAGTTGTCCCACCCTCGATTTCCTCCACGTCTCAGGTTCCCGAGGGGGAAATGTCCTCTTGCATCAGGCTCTACAAATAGTAAACAAGAAAAAGAAGCAATGACTGTCCCTAAAAGAAAAAAAATGGGCCTAGTGAGGTGCATAATTAAAGGTGTCCTCCCCCTTTTCAATGATCTGCCTTGGAAGGTGAAAGGTAAGAGGAAGTAAGTTTGTCCCAGATCTAGGTTTTCCAAGGGTTTCCTAAAATGATTGAACTATAGGAAATACTATTTGGACAAAAGTCTCCATCGCCTTTGAGCCTTTGCTAAGTAGACCCTTCTCCCTCTCCCCATCGTCTCACTTGTCCTGCTGCTCAGCAGGTCAGAAACAGCAGCACCTGGTCCGTCCCCACCCAGGGACGTGGTTGGAGGGTGTGCACATGGCAGGGCCACCTCTCCCCATGCTCAGCCCCATCCACTTCTCTGGCTGTGTCATGGCCGAGCCACCTGGGCCCCTGTGAATAAATGGGAAGTTCACCAATGGCCACACAGCCCACAAACACTTGTGTATTCACTGCCGTGGCCCGGAGCTCTCCAGTACAAGGATTCAAGTACTCAGGCGGAATTATAGCAGTGTTAAAGGGGGGAATAAAGCATCTGTTTGAGGCCAGTAGTTTCATCAGTTTCTCTGCCTGAGGTCAATGCAGGTCGAGGATCTTGGCCGCTAGTGGGCAGTGGCGTGAGAGCAAGAGACCTCACTGGCATTTGGGGGGCCAACTCAGCCAGAGCAGATTCTGAGAAACTGCTATTTATCAGCCCTTTTAGCCCCTTGGGGGCCCTAGAAGAACCGAACACAGAAATGAGAGTGCATGTTAGTAGCCTCAGCCAGTTCAAGGCCCACAGGATCACAGAGGACTTGGGCAAAGCCCAGAGTAAGATCGTCTCCTTCATCCCAAACGAAAAGAAAAACTGTAAAAACCTAGGGGGAAGCTGTTGAATTTGCATTTATTTCATGTCAGTGCAGATACTGGTCAGCAACAGCCTTTCAATCACCAGTTGGTTCCCATACAAGAGACTGCCAGGCTCCTGTGATGAAGGGGCACAGCTTTGGTCTCCTAGAGTGTCAGACACCACTTACTCCAAGTGAAAACTGACTAAAATGCAGAACTTCCAAGCGCCTGCTAGGCTCCACGGAGCCTTCCTGTTTCCTTTTACACCGCCTGCAGTTTCCCATGGTCTTTAAAAAAATAATAAAGTGTAGCACCTACATTTCAAATTTGGAAAAAAAAAAATGCGTACTGGACTCTGAGGGCCAGGTGTTAACCTCTGGGACGGTTGCATTTCTAAGGCAAAACCAGAAACAATGGGATGCCCTCCTCCTGCGAGGCAGAGTTTGGAATCTCTGGAAGGAAGCCCATTCCCTCTGGATGTCTGCGTGGTGGCAGCAGACAGCCCCCAGGGGCCAGAGGCCTTCCAGGGCTCCTCAGGCAGCGGGCACAGCCTTGACCTGCCCCCGCCCCCACCCCCAGGGGCTGGAGACCTCACAGCTCCTCAGGCAGCAGGAACAGCCTTGACCATCCCAGCGGCTTTCTGGCTGCACAGACAGAACCTCGCAGTACTGACCACATCGCAAGGGGAAATCTTGGCGAGGTGAGTCTTTGAACATGAGGATATAAATTAACGTTGCTTTGAGCAGTTTTTATAGTTGCAAGAGATTTTAGTTATTCTCTCTTCTTTCCCTCCCCCAGACTCCCTCTTTAAGAAAAAGAGAAAAAGAGGATACAAGTTCCTGAAGCAGCATGGGGACTGTCATGGTGCGTGACTGGCCCCCGGCCCTTCTGTGTGCTGCAGCCACACATCAGGATCAAGTTGTCAGGACTGAACTGTGCTAATGTCGACTGTGAACCGGGCTAAAAAGCTTTATGATGCCAGCAAGGCATCTCCCTCACGTGTCCTTTGGAAACCATCAGAGCGAACGACTCCCTAGGGTGCCCTCCATCTACAGTCAAAGCACCGAAATGCAGAGCTGCCTGAGGTGAAGGCAGGGACGCGGGGCAGGGCGGGTGTCTCGGGATGCGCAGGCTTCGAGACAGGTTGCCCCTGACGTCTTTCCTATGAGTGTTCAACGCCTCCGCAGTCAAGTCTGTGTTCACATCAGAACATTTAGATGAAATTAGATTCAAGTGTTTGCGGAACAAACCCTGGCCTCCCTCTTCAGCACTTTTGATTATTTTCAAAACCGTTGTAACTCGCTTCATACAACTTTATCCACATTTTTCAAGTTTCTAGCAAATAAAGACAAGACTCTCAGAAACTTAAGAACGAGACATGTGATTTCTAAACTCCCTACCTCCTTGCTAACTAAGTGGATTTCTGGTCGCTGTGGAGGATTTCAACAACATCGAGGTCGGCAGGACTTGTGATGGGAAAATACATGAATGTAAATGCAAAGACATGTTTTCAGTCCTAAATACGTTCCCTTTGACAAAAAAAAATAACTTCTTACATAATTAAACAATAATTTACTTAGTCCCCATTATACTAGTTAGCATTATCAGACCCCTTTTCTTCTTCGATGACTCCAGTGGGCAGAGAAGCCCATTAGCACCTGACATAATCCAGAACCAGTGCAGAAAAAGGAAATCAATCGTATTCGTATTTGAAAACGGAGACTGAGTGACAATTGTTAATATTCACAAAATTCCCCGCCATGACACCGCAACCCATGGCTTCCACTCTGGGAATAACACACGCATTTAGGATACACCTGACCGTCCCACGTGGCCAGGCTTTTAAGGAGAAAGTTGACAATTGTTTGCTAAGATTCCAGTCCAGTCTTTCAGAAGGATGTGGGTCCCTCCATCTGAGCTCTGAGGATGGTGGCAGCTGACTGGCAGTGTCTCTGGGGCCACCTTCAGCAGTCTGTCCCAGGTGTTGGACTATGGAAAACAGAAGGTGACAGCGTTGGAAGCTGGTGGGCCCTGCCCTGTGTGTCTAGACCCTGGGGGAGGGAGCTGCAAGCAGATCAACTGTCCTAAGGGAGCTCAGCATGCCTTCGGGTTCACAGCAGAACTGGGCTTACTGTCCAGCTTGGACTGTGCCTGCCCCCGCCCTCTACCTGTTTGTGGGATTGTTGCCCACCCCCCCTCCCTGTGTCTGCCCCCTCCTGCCCTGGGCAACCTCAGCCCTCTTTACCTGTACTGGTTCTCCATGGCCCTGCTCTCAGCTCTCTCCGGAACCCAGGAGTAGCTGTCTGCCGCGCTCTGGGGCTTCTTCTCCTTCTCCTCCCTCTTGGCTCTCCGCTTGCGGTAGACCAGCAGCCCCAGGGCCAGAGCCAGCAGGAGTAAGATGGCCGCCACAGTGCCGAGGATATAGAACAAAAGCAGCTTTTGCCAGTCAGGGCTGTCATTCTTTTGTTGGGCAATGAGATCCCCATCCGTAGACTCCTCGTGATCAGTGGTGGCTGTGGGGTGATGGCTGCTGTACTCCATCCAGATTCCAGGGGACCCAGTGGTGGCCAGAGACTGGGGTGACGTAGGGGTGATAGAGGCATTGGATTCAAGGAAGAGTCTCCACCTGGTGGATGCCACCTTGGAAGTGCCCTCAGGGCCCCCAGTTGGACTTGAGGTTGTGGTAGAAGGCCTGAGGCTCCTTTCTCTATCTCCTGTGTTCTGCTCCTGGGGGGTCTCAGCAGATGGTCCCAGGGATGTGGTGCCTGTGATACAGGAGACCCCGTCGGGGGCCAGCTCCATACCTGGCAAGCAGGTGCAGCGGAAGGACCCTTGCGTGTTGAGGCAGTAGCCTTCACAGAGGCTGCCCTCGGGACTCATACACTCATCCACATCCTGACAGGCCTGCCCTCCGGGGCTGCTGGGCTCGTAGCCCACCCAGCACTGGCAGTGGAAGCTCCCAGGGGTGTTGACACACTCCTGTTCACAGGGGGAGGCCTGGCATTCGTCCACATCTACACAGTCCTGCTGAGTCGTGTTCAGCTGGTAGCCTTCGGGGCACTGGCACGTGTAGTTTTTCCAGAGGGACTCGGGGACGCATGTGGCCACTCCTCTGCAAGGGCTGGAGCTACAAGGGTCCCGGGAGATACAGGTCACCAGGTCATCCAGCAGCCTGAACCCCGGGCGGCAGCCGCAGCGGAAGGAGCCACCCTCCCCCTCCAAGCATTCCTGCTGGCAGCCCCCGTTACTGAAGCTGCATCCGTACTCAGCGCTGGCACAGAGGGGTCCCGAGATGCCCCAGTCGAACACATCAGTGGCCTTCTCCTTGCACAGGAAGAAATGCTGCTTACTCTTATCCCCATTCCTACAGGCCACGTTGGCCACCGAGGCGAAGGGCACAGCCTCCAAGGAGGAGCTGGTGGCCTGGAAAGGAGTGGTGTAGTTCACCTGGCCTGGGCCCCCCAGGGCCAGGGGCCGGCACATGCCTTTGAAGCTGAACTTGCACACGAAGCCCTCGATGTTGTTTACAGGAGCGCCCGGGCTCCCACAGGGGCCCTCAGACCACTTGGGGAGGTGGCTGGAGAGGGAAGAGACGGACGGGTCCAGCATCAGGGACACACAGCGCTTGGAGATGCAAGTGTGCCTGGCCTCCTTGTACCAGTTGGAATACAGTGTGTCCTCCCCACCGCCCACCCAGCTGAAGCCCTTCAGGGGCAGCCTGGGGTCCAAGCACTTGCCCCTTTCTCGCTGGAGTCCTATCCAGAACTTGCCTGTCCAGGGCGCCCCAGGCTGTAGGAGCTGGGCCAGTGCTCGGTGGATGTGCCGGGCCTCCTCCTCGGTCCTCACCGTGGCCAGGTTGCCCCCGTCCTTGCTGCAGAGATGCTGGGCCTCGGCGGCAGAAAGCTTGCCCCAGTGGGCCGAGTAGCAGGCAGTGCCCGCGCACACCACTGCCTGTGTGTCAGCGCCAGCCCCCAGCCAGGGCTGGCTCAGCAGCGGCAGCAGCAGCAGCAGCAGCAGGCTGGCGAGGTGGCCATCGCGGTCTCCGTGTCGCTCTCGGCGGGGGCTGAAGCCTGACAGTGACCGTGCCCGCCTCAGCCAAGCTCAGAGGGGAGCCGAGGGTCAGACGCTGACACTCTGGCACAGAGAAGAACACAAAGGCTGCAGGCTTTGCACGTCCCCCTGACCCAAGGCGCATCCTGTGCTGTTGTATTTCTTATTTCTCACCGGATACTGGGACTTCCTGCAGTGAATAGTTTTCTGACTCCTGTTGCCTTCATCATGGTTTTGTTGTTCATAAAAGGAGCCAGGCGGCTTTGCTGGGTCCCTGGCTGAGCTCTGGGAAAATGTGGCCACATCGGGGGAAGGCAGCCCGGGACACTGGCTGCTTTATTTTGGATCCATTCTCTCCCATCCATACGAGGAGCTTAAATGGCATGCTACAGAGCGAGGAGGGAGTTGCAGGGGCCAGGAACTTGAACATCTCACTGAGCAACCCATAACAAAATTCCACTCTGGTTTGCAAACAACCAGAAAGAGGAAAGAATCCTCAGACTTGACACACGAGACCACGGATGGTTATCATTTGCAGCCTTTTTTAGAAGCAAAGTGGATTTTTCTTTTCCTATCTCACGTTCCCTTCAGTTTTGGGAGTCTTTTCCCTTTTATTGCCCCCATCATGAACTTTAAATAGAGAGGCAGTTTTTAAATAGGAACTGGGCCGTGGGAATGTCTGAGTGTCTCATACAGCGCCAAGCGCCTCGAGAACATCAAACCAAATTGGGCGAAATTTCACAGTTTTCAGGGTGTCACGGCGCAAACACTGCGGGGAGGAGGCAGTGAACCCAAAGAAAAAATGGAAATGTTTCTGGCCTCCTGGCCCTGGGCTTGACCCTGCCTGCCCCGCTCAGGGTTCCCGGGAAGGGTCAGATGTCTGGGCCCAAGAGGAGGGTCCAGGCCTGGCTCCCGTTGCCTTCATCACAATTCTGTGGTTCCTAACAAGAGCCAGGCATCCTGGCTGACCACCTCCTGCACAGCAACTCACCAAAGGCCCTACACTACCAGGGTTGTTGTTTTTCCCAGTGTCACAGGCCCGTTGTGCTTATTGGGGCTGTCTTTGATTGGGGTCCCCCAGAAGCAGACCCTGAGATAAGGATTCAGGGCAATTAGTTTATTTGGGAGGAACAGTGAGACAAAAAAAAGGAGGAGCCAACACAGGGTGACTGAAAGGGCAGGCGACACTGGGACCCCTGGACCTCAGTTCCCTGGGACATTCTGAGAGACGATGTGGATCACATGGCAGGGTCTCCCAGCTGAGGGGCGGGGCTGGGCACAGGTCTCCTCCAGCCCCCTCCTCACTGGTGGCAGCAGCCCCTTGGTGCTCAGAGCTGACTGTGATGACCCAGCACACCAGAGGGAACACGCAGGTGGAGAATCACAGGGGCCCGCCACGGGCTATGGGTGAAGTACCAGCGTCTTCCATATAAAGATTTGAGTGAGTTTAGGGTTTAATGGGGTTTAGGAACTCACTGGCTTCCAGCTTCCCCAAAGCATAAATCAGGTGCCCATCTCAGATTTCAGCTGGATATCTTTCAGAGGTGTTCCTTATGTCCTACTTATTTTCATAAGGTATTTGAGATAGTCCAGGGACCCTCTCTCAGAAACTACAGGATCTTCCCTGTGCTCCTTGTTGCTTGTGGAGATCCATCCATCATCTCTCCATCTACTATCCATCCATCTGCCCACTATATGCATCTGCCCATGTACCCAAAGTTAATTAAGCCCCTACTATGTGCTGGGCTCAGCACTGAGAATCTAGGAGGGGAATCTTGCCTTTGTGACCCTTAAAGTCTGAGTGGGCAGGTTTGAACAAGTTGAACAGTTGAAACTGTGACAGGTACCGCAGGAAGAAGTTGAGGGTGTCAGAGATGTCCTGACCTGGCGAGGGGTGGGCCAGGCACCTCCAGGGAAGAATAGCAATGAAGCCAGAATATCTAAGAGGGAGAATGATGTCCATAGAGGGGACCAGCACATACCAAGGCCCTGCTGTGGGAGGGCTGTGAGCTTTGCAGGGAATAAAGGAAGGGCAGTGAGATTATATCCTGAGGAATAAAAAGGAAGGATGGGGAAGGTGGAGCCCTGTGAGCCCAAACCATGAAGATGTAGAGCTACTTCAATCCATGGGGAAACACAGAGGGGTTGGCATGCTGAGATGTGTATGAGAAAGCGTCCCCCCTTCTGTGGCGTGGCGAGGGCTAAGGGACCCTCAGCAGCCAATTTCCCAGGCAGAGAGGAGGGTGACTGGGACTGAGCTAGGCCCCTGGAGGAAGGACAACAGATTCAGGAGATGATCAGGCCATTCTTGGTGCTGCATGGAGTGGGGTGGGAGGGCACACAGGAGGGCTTCCTGGTTTCCTGTTTATACCACCACGTTCCGGGGTTCTGAAAGGCTGTGCCCACGGGAGATGAGGAAATGGGGCTGGGCTGAAGAGCAATCGGAGGGGCTGGTTGTAGGGTCTGAGTCTCCCAGACCCCCTCTCCTCATGACTTGCCACCTCAGGATTCTGAATTTGCTCCCAGACTTGGGGAAGTAGCCAGGTTCAAGGGGACCTGGGAAGGCTGGTGTCCTTCGTTTCAGGCCAGCGTTGCTGGGCACACATTGAGGCTTAGTGAGTGTCGGTGCTGATCTCTGCCTGGAAGAAGCTGCATTTCTAAAGGTTTGTTTATGGGCAAGTGACTTCTTCACATTCTCTAAAAGCAATCTGATGGTGTTCGCCTTGAGCTGCGCTGCAGCCTGCCATCGGCTCACAGCAGGGAACCTCTCTTCTGCTTTGGACTCCTGTCTGCAGCCCACAGCTGGTCCCTCAGTTAACTATCAACTATCATGGTCCTGCAGGATCTGCCAGCGGGCTGTTGGTTGGTGCATAAGGACACGGGCTGAGTGAGTGGCTTACCCTGCCACCAGATCTTTTTCAGGATTTCTTCTTTTGCTGGCAATTCTTCATCTTCCACATGGGAACTTGTAAATCGACTACTCTTCACTTAGCCGAGTGTTGACGTCTTAAAGAAGAAAACGAACTAGCAAAGACATGTGTGCAGGTTATTCATCCGTTAAGCCAGGAAGTGCCGTGAAGCACTTACTGTGAGAAAGGCCGTGTAAATGGCCGGAACTGCTCTGTCCTGGGAGTTGGGGGTTCCACTTCATCATTTCTAGTAACCCGGTTAACTCAGCCTTGGCTCCAGTCCCCTGATCTGTACACAAGGCGATGGGACCAGGACCCTGAATGCCTTTCTTGCTCTAGCACCAGCAACAGTGAGCTCCTGTTCCCTTCATCCTCTGGATTTATGTAGGAAGCAAACTGGGGAGGTAGTGGGAACGGAGTCCACTGCCAAGCCCTCACCAGATGGCATAAGGCAGTGAACCACCTATCTGCACAGCATGGTGCCATGTTCCTCTTGCTGACCCACTGAGCTTCGAGATACGGTGCAGTTGCTTTACTGGCTCTCCCCTCTCTCCTTGGCTCCCTCTGACTTTCTCTCTGTCCCTTGAGGAGGGACCATGACGTCCACAAGGTCAGAAGAAAATGTAAGCAGTCGTTAAAAGTTGGTCTTTTAAATTATCTGTTTATTTTCAGCAAGCTCCACTAACAAGGTCAATGATAAAATTCTCCTCCAAGGGAAAAAAAAAAAAAGTTTGTTCGTTGTTGGTCTAAATTCTAAACAACTGTGGTGCTCATGGTTATTTTAATAATATATATGCAAACTTCAGATTAACCCAATGATGGCGAACCTTTGAGCTTGGCGTGTCAGCATTTTGAAAAACCCTAACTTAACTCTGGTGCTGTGTCACATATAGAAATTTTTTGATATTTGCAACCATAGTAAAACAAAGATGTATATTTCTGATATTTATTTTATATATTTAAATGCCATTTAACAAAGAAAAATCAACCAAAAAAATGAGTTCGCGTGTCACCTCTGACATGCATGTCATAGATTTGCCATCATTGGATTAGCCCTTTTTAATTACATATACTTTAATAAGCATTGTATTCCACGTGGAGGTTTGGGGAATTCCCACTTACAATGCAGGTCCCCAGCCCTCAGGCCTTCCCACCCACGTGCCTTCCGGAACAAGTTCCTGCTGGGTGGGAGTCGCTCAGCTGGATGGGCCACACATATCCGCGCACAGACACAGTTGATTTGCAATGAACAATGACAGTAGAGACTGTGAAGACAAAGAAATAAAACCTGACCCTTCAATTTCATCATCCTCTGTGATCGCTCGGAGTTTCTGGGTTGAAAGTTTAAAACAAGAGAAAAGAGTGGGAATAGTGAGGCATGATATCTTTAGTTAAGTGCAAATATTAGTTGGCCTGTACCTGAATAACATGTTTACAAATTGAAATGTCATCCTTTTTAACAGTTTGTGTTAAAATTGATGAACAAGCCTGTCCAGTGTGGCTCAGTGGTTGAGCATTGACCTATGAACCAGGAGGTCACGGTTTGATTCCCAGTAAAAGGCACATGCCTGGGGTGTGGGCTCAATCCCCAGTGTGGGGCATGCAGGAGGCAGCCGATCAATGATTCTCTCATCGTCGATGTTTCCTTCTCTCTCTCTCTCTCTCTCTCTTCCTTCCTCTCTGAAATCAATAAAAATCAAATAAAAAACCCTAAAGAACAAAATTAAAAATTATAAATGTTGATTATGACATGATTATTTCTGAAAGTAATTATGTTATACCGAGGTCTGAGCTGCTGCACCAACCCACCTGGGGTACAAGTATGCCAGGTGTGCAAAACCACACTAGGACACACTTCTCCCAGTGGGGCAGCTTGTCAATTTCCAGACTGTTCTTCATTGAAGGGATGGAACACATCTACCCTGGGTTCAAAGCCCACTCTGACACTCACTATCTGTGCAATCTTAGACAAGCTACCAAACCACTCTGTTCATGTTGTGTGGCACAACCATCTGTGACTGGTTCTTCAACTGGAACAGGGGGGACAGAGCAACTTCACATCTCATGAGGCTTTGTGAGGGTCGCATAAATCAGTACCTGGAACACTCTCAGAACAGTGCCTGGCAGGAGGCGTGAGCAGCCATCACACCAGGAGGCCCAGGAGCTTTGAACTCCCGAGACTCTGCCTCCGGTAACTGAAACTGAAGCCTCACCTTGACCACTTGCTGGCTTTGGGATTAGACCCCACCTCCTCACCTGCAGAGATCTTGTCTTCCTCATTTGTCAAATGGGAAGAATAAGGGTCGTGGTGCCAAGATGCTGCCGTGAGGATTACATTAAAGAAGACAATAGCTGTGAACACTTCCTATGGGGGCTGGTGCACAGACCAGAGTCCTGTCCCTGTGATCGTAATGAAACAGACAAAGGCAAAAATGACAAGGAGAAACCCCCTGTTACATTTGCTGGAGACTCGGAGCTTTTCTCTTTTCAGAGACTTCTCCACCTTCTCTGTCTGGCTCCCTGGCTGGGTAAGCATCCTCACAGAGCATTATTGATCTTTCCCCTTCTCCCAAATAGTCTCCTAATGGAATTTGTCATGCACAACACTTGTAGAAAATGTGCCTGGCTGAATGCTGGTTTGTTGTTGTTGTTTTTTGTTTGTTTGTTTGTTTGTTTGTTTGTTTTTAAATATATTTTATTGAGAGAGGAAGGGAGAGGGATAGAGAGTTAGAAACATTGATGAGAGAGAAACATTGATCAGCTGCCTCCTGCACACCTCCTACTGGGGATGTGCCCGCAACCGAGGTACATGCCTTTGACCGAATCGAACCTGGGACCTTTCAGTCCGCAGGCCGATGCTCTATTCACTGAGCCAAATCGGTTAGGGCTGTTGTTGTTGTTTTTAATGTTATTGTTACTTTTTAAAAATTCTTTATTATTAAAAGTATTACATATGTCCCCTTCCCTCCTCCCACCACTACCACTGCCCCCCCCCATTGTCCTCTCCCAGCCTGCCCCCACCCCGGCCTTCAACCACACACCCCCTCTGCCCGCATTGTCTGTGTCCATTGGTTATGCTTATATGCATACAAGTTCTTTGGTTGATCTCTTCACCCCAAGCCCCCCCACCCCCACCCATTACCACCACCCACCCTCCCCTGCCTTCCCTCTGAATGTTGTTTTTAAGGTGAGAGGATCCATGTTCTGCTCGCCTCCTGGAACTGGCTTTGATAAGCAAAGGCTGCTTATCAGCATCTGGAAAGAGATAAATCACACAGAGGAACCACACTTTCCGCAGGGCAGGATCTCTTCACACATCGCATCTCCAGCCACAGCTCCAGGGGTGAAACGCAAGGCTGTAAATCCTGATACGGGGCTGGCCCATGCGGTGTTCAGGATCCCTTTGGCATTTACAGCATTCTCAGAGGTTCCAATCACTTCCCATAAGAATTTAGCCCTGTTTGGATGATACAATTTTATAGAAATAAAAATGATCTACTTGACCTCACATGCCCAGATTCAATTCTCCATGAAATGAGAACAATGACACAGCAGTCATTTGAAAGAAGGTCATGTAGGTTGACTAGAGATTTATTTTCTTTTCCTTGAAAGCTAACTCAGGACTCTTGAAGACTCTGAGGATTATAGACCAGATCTAGAGAAGCCAACATCTCAAGCATCCATTATCCACTGCGCCTACCAGTGCCAGGTGTGCCCAGGTCCTCACCCAGGACCCCCTGGCTGGAGGTGGTGCATCCTGCTCCAGGAGCACTCAGAAAAGCTGGACCCCATCTTCCCAGGTCAGAACTGCCGCCGTTGCCTGGCCTGGCTTCGGTTGGCACCGCCAACCTCAAATGACTGAGAGCAGCCATGCCCAACCTTTTTCATCATGGCAGGCATCAACTAATTACTAAAATTCTGCACCACACCCAAAAATATATTTTGCCAATCTGACCAAAAAATTGCTTTAATTTTTATCCATTCCCACCACATTGTTATTGTTGCATTGGCCATTGCCTATTTTTTATTTGACAATCTAAGGGAAAGGAAGTCACTGCCCTTGACTAGGTAGTCAGGTATTGCATGTTTTAAAAATTCTTGTGGCACGCCGGTTGAAAATAGCTGACTTAGAGCAAACGGAAATGATACTGCCCACCTTCTGTAGGTGTGATCACTTGTCAAAATGTGACACTTACTAGCCCTGTGACTTTGGGCCAGTATTTCTCCTCTCTGGGCCTCCGTTTCCTAATGTGTAAATGGTGTCCCATGCACAGAGGCATACGAGTTACATGAGATGACCTGATAAAGTGCTGGACACAGTCTGTGCTTCATCGCCTTTGCCATCATTGGCACGTGAATAGTCTTACTTACTACCTAACAGTTCTGACACTTATGGTTATCCTTTGCCTTCATTGATTCTCAGGGAAGCCACCAAAAACACCCCAGACGGATGAAGTGTCTGCACCACAGCACCTTCTCTAAGATCCCAGGTAGACTCATGTCTGACGGCATCACACTGTCACCTGAAGAGGCCTGACTGCCTGCCATAGTGACCTGGGGGGCACACGGAGAGGGGCTGCTCAGAGCAGAGAGATGGTGGTGATGGCCATAGGTGCCCCTAGCCCAAGAACCAAGGCCGATGTAGGTAGAGCAGGGGGTGATATGTGTATGTTCTCTAAGCCAGCACTGTGACCTAGGATCTCAATACGTGCCCAGTGAGCTTTCCCCACCTGCCCTGGGACAGCAGAGTCCATGCCCAGCTCAAAGGTTCCCACACCCTGTGGTCCATTGGTGGGGCAATTTCATGCCAATCCATCTCCCTGCTCCGCAGGCCACAAGTTGTTGTGGGCATATAGGACCAGCCAGTTCCATATGGGTGCCCAGGGCTTTAGCTCTTCAAGGGCACTGACACCTCCAGAAGCCCAGGCCCCGCTAACTGGGGCAGGGAGAGCGGAGACAGCAGGTACATTAACCTTCATCCAAAGGCACCATCAGGATGCTCACACACCCATGGCTTTGGAGCACAGACATGCCAGGTGCAGGCCCTGGGTCTGAGCCAGGCCGTCTTCCTTGGTGGTGAGCAGGACCTGTCTCTGGGCTGTGCAGCATTCAGATGCATCCGTCAAGAACTGGGTTTCCCACTATGTGGAGGGTCATGCAGCTCCCTGAGCACCCTCGGGGCTCTCGAATCTGACTCAACTAGGACATTCCTCAGAAACGTGGAGCCCTCCCTGTTGTCCTGAAGTGCAAGGCTAGAAGGCAGAGCCCCTGGTTCTGGCTGAAGGTGACTTGTGAGTTCTTCTGTCATGCCTGGTCCAAGCTTTGACTTCAGGGAATGATGCAGCTCTCCTGTGCCCCTGATTTTCCACCTATAAAAGGCCCAGTGTGACAATCTGACCCTCTTCACACAGTGGGAGGAGGTGAGAGCAGGAAAGCCAGACCACAGAAGAGCAAAGCAAGACAAGCCCAGTGTGGACCACACCCAGTGCCTTGATCTGGGTACTTAGTGGGCAAACAGGTGAAGAGGGCTCCTGTTCTGACATCCCATGAAGAATGGACTGACTGGGCCTGGCCGGTGTGGCTCAGTGGTTGAGCCTTCACCTGTGAACCAGGAGGACACATCAGGGCACATGCCCAGGTTGTAGGCTCAATCCCCAGTGTGGGGCATGCAGGAGGCAGCCGATCAATGATCCTCTCTCATCATTGATGTTTCTATCTCTCTCTCCCTCTCCCTTCTTCTCTCTGAAAAAAAAAAAAAAATTAAAGAAAAAGAATGGGCTGACTGAATTTAGTCCAATGCAGTCATTTTGAAAATAAATCAGTGTGGATGAAAAAAGGGCACATGCTAACCTGACTAACTCAGGGAAGACCTGCATGGCAGTTTTGTAAACTCAGAGACCTAACGTAACCACAAAGGATGGTCTGAAATTAAAACTTTAAAAGCCGTTTATGGTGGGTAGTCACGTACTAGGCCAGTATCTTCCCTGACAAAGGTCAATCTTTACCTTAACTGAGCCTATTGTCTTTTTGCATCTACAATAACATGTCTTTGGAATGTCAAAGTAATTTCCCTTTTTTTCCGGACCCCTCAAAACACAAGCACCACTCTGTGGAGACCACAAAGCCCCTCATTGTTATTGAGTTAATTGTTGACTGTTAGCTATCCTGCACCCACCTAAGTAAAAGAAGTGTGTGTCTGTCATTTTATCAAATCCCAGAGGTTTCCCTGCTTTGCCTCCTCCCACTTCCCTAATCTATCACCAATGATTTTATGTAACCCACTTACATCTCCTTCTTTGATTGTAATGTATAAAACAGGGTAAAAAAAACTGCCATTCTCCGGAGCATTATCCCAATCCGTTGAAATTCTGCTCCCTGGCAATTGTCGACAATTTGGCTCAAATGAACTCACAAAAATTCTTTACAGGTTTGAATGTTTCTTATGTTAACACCAGGTTGCATTTTTATGCCCATTTTCTAGAAATAACAACAATTTGCCTTTTACAAGCTTCTTTGTTTTGCTCAGCTTCCCCGTCTCCACCTCCTGGTGGGAAGGGTTTAAGGAGAAGAAGGCAGGGCAAACAGGACAGGTGGGAACCCCAGTCCCCAGAGAGAGCCCCAGGTGACACAGGCAGGCTCTGGCAGTGGCAGCTGAGGTGATAAGGTGAGGGTGGGAGTGGGGTGGGCACATGAGAATTTGTCCCCGGGCACAATGACAGAGCAGAGTCCTTATCAGCTAGGCACCACAGCCATGACTGGATTCTCCAAGACAAAAAAGCACAAGTGACACCCCAGTGCCAGCACCAAATCCTGTTGAAATTGACGAGAGTCCAAATGCTGAGGTCCGTAGCGTGTAAGGGCTCCACCTGGGCATCTCTGGAGGCATCTGCTAACGTGGCCGCCCAAGAGCACAGATGCGCCTGCCCAAGGTTGGGCTCATTAGTCCAATTCTACCTACTGGTAGGTGAGTGTCATCATTCAATGAAACAGGAGTCTCATTTCCCATAAAAGCCCGGGATTACGTGAGGTTTCCCTCTGAAACTCTGAATCACACTGTCCACACCCTACCTTCCTCCGACACCACGAGGGAAATACTCCTCTTAGAAGGAAAAATTTCTATTTCATGAGAGCCCTGGTTATCTCGTCTACCTTTTCCAGTTCTTTCTAGAAGATAAGAGTTGGACAGTGACCTGACCCTCAGGTCTGGGAGGGAATGACCGTGCTCTGGGGCCTCTGGTAGAGTATTTGATCTCTCTCAGCTGAAGGCGCCACTCCCAGTCAGTGAACACAAGTAGCAGTAAAGCCAGGTAATGACGTCTAGACATTGGCCTCTTTGTCTGAATGAGAAGAACTGTGGGTCCCAGCTTGCGTAAAGCTCTGGGACATTTCTGTTAGACCCACACAGTGTTCTTAAAATTCTGAATTACTTCTCACTATTTCAGAAGCATAAGGCTTTACATGAAGATCTGGATTTCTGGCTTCTCTTTAAAAATCGAAATGTCTGGCAACATTCACCCCTCTCTGACTGGGCAATCA